GTGTTTTGTAAGAAGGCTAACAAGCGTAAACTGTTGTCTGCCTGAAGTATTGGGGCCTATATATAATTACAGTATATATTGGTATATTAACCATGTCAAATATAGGTTATATGTCCACTTCTGAGACAATAATATAATATAATATAGTATAGTATAATAGAAGTGCATCCTTGGGCAAACCCACCAAATCTCATTGACTCTGTTCAGTTGCAAATCGTGGTTCTACGTGAACGACTTTGACATGTTGCATGCTTGTGTCGATGTTGGGTGCCAGCCTTTTTCCTGCTGGGGCTTCAGTATTTTCCAGGAATTTTCCCGAATGAAGTGGGAAGCCAGTGAGGGCAGCGAACATTCAAGGAAGTGCCGAAGATTGTGAATTTAGGCATCGACGCATCAATACTTATCACGGAACATGTTGTGAACGCTCGAGCTGTATTTTCAGGCTGAGAGCAACACAAAAGTCATCAAATCAAGAAACTTAGTGTACATGCATGTGCTTGCTTGAATGGAATTCAGCCCATGTCACTTGTTGAACCATGCGCAAATGGTTGTGCGGAATCCTGGTGAGTTTGCTGTCAACACGATGCAACAGCAATGTTTGGATGAAGCTGCGTTGACTGAGGCTTTATAGCCTGAGTATTCATTGCTTGTTGAGACCTCAAAGCCTCCAAATACAGTGTTGGAGTTGCTTGAAAGGCTTAATTTACGTCTGGGCAAGTATCGAGCCATGACCCTCAGGTCCGCCCCAGCAGATGTGAACTGGCAGATCAGCATAGCTTGGGAGGAGCCTCGGAAACGAATGCCACAGGAGGATTCCCTTATACTTAAACAAATAAAGCTCTCACTCTAGTGACATGTATCAACAAGACTCGATGAACAAGTTCAGAACCCATTTCAACAGATTCGCCACAGAAGAGAACAGAAGAGAACATGGGTCTTTTAGAGGCTTGCCGTTACATTGCTACGTGTGATGGACGTGTCAGTGTTGAATAAGCCGGAACATGTCAAAATCCATTGCAGGATGAAGACTGCAACAGCGTTTGCAGCTCGCATGGTTTGGCATGTACAGAGGCCAGTCTTGCCTGGCAGAGATTCTGTATTGCATTCCTTTGATTGCTGTTTGCTCTTGCCATACTGACAGTGTCCACTTCAGACTGGCGTGTTTGGTTCTGTTGGAAGCAGCACATTGGGTTTGAATTGGAAGGTGCCAACTAGTTTTCCCTGATTCCGGCCTTGTGACCTTTCGTTTCATAGTCTACTTCCCCAAGAGCCTTGATGTGTACTTTCCGCCTCCCCCACTCTTTCATAGCATTGTCTTTACACAGCTGTCTCAATGCTAAATTGAATCCTTGCAAGACATGTGAAGCTTCGACACTTGATTGATGCGATAGGCTTGCTGGCCCTTCACGGCAAAGGGCCTGAGGAATGCATTGAGTTCTACTCTGCCAGAGACCTGCTTTGGCCAGGGCCCTACTCTGCAAAAGGGGAAGTCAATACATCAGCGTTGCGGACATTGTATGAATGATATTGTATGTACACTCGGCAAACTTACTGCTGCACAGCCACAAGAGATGTGGGTGCGCTGCTGTTGTTTGGAGTGCAGACGACCACATATGTTGCGTAGAGCATGCTTGCACATTTGCTCAAGGACAGCGCACAACATGTAGCACTGGAACAACTATAGCCCTCGTCAATCTTAGTATTGTCTTGAAGTGGCGTGCGCAGAGATGCACCAGGGACTCACAGGGAAGCAACTCATAGATACTCAGTTTTGTTTCATTTGCACCAGGAATCGAGGCTGGCTCTCCAAATCCTTGGCACCCTGCAAAGGAGCAAGTCCGTGAGTCTTTTGACTCGGAAGTTTGGAGTCAGATATTCCGATAAATCTCAGATGTTTCGGATTGAATGAGTTGTTCGAGTTGCAGGACCCAGACAACACGATGTGTTATTGGTTTGCTGGGCATTCCGCTTCTCAATCGCCCAGATGCCCGTCGGGTGGCCCAAAAGGACGACGGCGCCCGCGTCGCTCACTGCAGCCGTCCCGCGTCTCGAGGCAGAGGCCGGCAACTCCTGTCCAGCTGCTGCAGGAGTCCAAAGTCATCCGCAGGCGAGTGACGTGGCGATGTCTGATGTCGTCGACATGTCACTTATAGTCTACTTATAGTTGCTCTAGTAATTATGTGGTGATTATTTTCTTTTTGGTTTGGCATGGCATGTTTGGAACACTTCCGAGGCTCTGCCCTTGTGTGAGCATGAATGTCTCGTCATCAGCTGGGTCCTGCTGCCTCGTTGAGTGACACAGTGCCGCGCCTCTCGGAGATGCTGCTTGCCGCTACAGGTTCAGGTGTGGGCTCGGCGATCAGCACCTCGTTTGCACTGCTCGAGTACTAGAGCTCTTCCAACCGTTGCAGCAAAAATGTCGGGCTTCAACGAACCACTTCCTGCTTGCTACTTTGGATTGTAGTTGATTGTAGGCCTTCACCACCACCATGAGGCCTGCAGACCCGGTGGTGCCTGTTGGTCAGGCCGCGAACCGCGCTCCTCATGGTTTCTTAGAGAGCATGATGCACACATCCTTAAGTTTCTTAAGAGGCTCAGAAGTTAAGAGCTGTTGCGTAAATTGAAGTAGCAAACTGCGTTGAGAAGTCGCTGTCCTTCCCTACTATGCAGTAAACGGCGTGGACGGATGGCTTTGGTGCCTCTGAAGAATGAAGACGTTGTAGTAAAAGGATTCGAGGTAAAAAGTAGTTTCCAAGAAAGTGTCATTCTTCCTGTTGACAGAAGACATACTGTGCTCGTGAGGTACCAACTTCTACTACCAGCTCACCCGAAGCAGGTTCAGGTGCCGGTCTTCATTCGTCCTAAAGCACTTGTTACTACTAGCTTCTTGTTACTACTAGTAAGGCACTTGTTCCTTTATTTTTTGGTCTCACACATCTAGGAGTTGTGGATCCACCACCTGAAGCACCAGAGGCCGGGAAGCTTCTGAAGCTCCTTCTCTTTGCTGTTAAAAGGGACACCATGCCGTAACATGAGCGCATTTGGTGGATTTTGGTGGTCAAGTCGGTGATGCATCGATATCGGGTGTCATGTTTGTCAAACGCCTGGTTTTGAATTTGGCTGTAAATTTGGATGTCGTCACCTCCACTGCTGAGATTGCTTTGTAAGGTTTTACAGCCTCCAATGGCGGTGTGCCAGGACAGAAAGACAAACGCATTAGTGTCCCAGGACGGCGTTTGACTCGTATCTGAGGAAGTCACAGGCACGAGGGCCTGTGAAACACCACGAGGGCCTGTGAAGGCGAACAACGTGAGCTTGGCGCTCCCTCCCTCCCTCCCTCCCTCCCTCCCTCGCTCTCTCTCTCTCTCCTTGTTTGTCTCAAAAGAATCACACGACCTGAGGAGCTTTGTGTCTCCGGATTTGGTGCAGAGGTGGGGCGCCATGACAATTGAGTTTGTAAGGAAAACCATTTGAGTCAAAATCACTTGGAGCTGCGAAGACAGCAAGATATGCCAAGGATGAAAAGCTCAATGGCAAGTACATTCGTTGGCCACCCATCGAGAGCATCACGGGCTTATGATTTGATATATCCAATCAATGCAAAAGCATGGTCCGGCAGCAACTACACCTACATGCTTCTTGGTACATCCTGCATGTAACATGCATGTTTGATCATATTTAATTACTGATGTTGCTGCAAAGTTGGCTCAAGACCTCCTAGATCATCCTGAAAGTGCTACAAACGGGTCAGAGCAAACATGCCGGCCCTTCCAAACTCGCGCTGCTTGGAAGTGCCTTGCCTGAAGTTTTTGACTGCAAGGACTTGGTGGTGAAGTGATGTCTAAGACTGTCTAGATTACAACATATTTACTTTCTTTTCATGTCCAAATAGTGACAAGTTCGGGTTGAAAAACGTGTGACCTTTCGAAGTAGTCGACGAAAGGGGCCTCACGAGTCTCACGGCCGCCCAGGAGACGCCGTTAAAGGAGGCACCTGCTGTTCTTGGCTGTCAGATTGTCACCAAAGTAAAGCACTGTTTGTCTCATCATCTCCGGTGGAATTTTCATGATTTTTCCCAGACTTCGTGAAATGAAGGTAAGCAGGTAAGGATAAACGATGCTTTGGAGAGGGTAAGGTGAGCCGTTGAATTGGAAGGGGAACAAAAATTGCACATAAGCGTCAGGAGCTAAACATCGAGTCGGGCGAAGAGAAGTCTGAGGAGCAGAAGCTATTGAACCTTGAACCTGTCAAGTTTATTTTGTTATGTGTAAGGGTAGGAACTAACATCGTTCGGATCATGATAGAAGGAATCAAAGCCATGTCGTCGAGCTTTCTATGAAATGGAAGCAAATGAATAATGGCCAGCGCAGCTTGCGTTTATTTCCAGGAGACCCCGCAACAGCCTTACCGCTTGGCCCCATACAAGGCACGACATCAAAAGAAGCAGCTCACTCGGAGAAAACGATTCTATGATAGAAGTATATATATATAATATTTTCTTCCATCTAGATTCTTAGATAATGATGTTGAACCGGAATTGGTGTTGCATGCCTGTCAGTGACATTTCTTCACTGAAGCCTGTCTTTTAAGAAGCTCTAGGTGTAGTCCTTTTTTGGTGTCCCAATCAGAGGGCTTCAAGTTGTTGATTTGCTTTGAGAGGCTTTGTCGATTGCGGCGGTTTGCAGCCTCTTTGTCATTGCTGCCTGCTTTATGAGGGTGCGAAAGGCCGGGGAATAAGTGCACGAAGGAACCGCTGCACCGAACGCCTCAAGCCGGGAGCCTTGCAGGCTGAGGAAACTGGCATGGATGCCATTGCCAAGTACTGGCCCTGAGCTTTTGAACAATGTTTGAACCTTCCTTATATATAAATATATTCTATATATATATACATATTACTTACCCGACCTGGCCGCTCGAAGTGGGATTCTTTAAATCTCAGGTGGGATTCCAGCGAGGCATCTGGCCAATGCGGCAATATGGAGAAGAACTTGGATTACGCTGCCTTGCAGCAAAGGGCATTCAGGTTGAATCAATGATCTTGCGGTGGATGTTCTGCCTGCACAGGTGTGCACAAGGTGTGTTTTGCCTTTCTTTCGTTTGTTTACTATATCCTGGCCTTGGCAACGTCCAGGTTGAATACTCTGGTTGGGGAACCAATCTCGACCACATTCCAGACCCGGACATGTGCTGCGCTTTTTGCCAGGCCTGGGACATTCGCCAGTCCAGACTTCGCACGTAGTCACATAGTTTTCTGACAACATCCAGTTGTGCAACATATCCTCTAGTTTCTCAATGACAAACACCTCAATGAGTCTGATTAGATGTGTTTACAATCGAAATGCTGCCCTAAAAAACAGATGAACTTGGCAAGTGGATCCTGGTCAGGCAAACCCCAAGTGCAAATCCTTTGTCTGGGTGGAGGATGCTGGACTTCCAGGGAATCCTAGTCAGTGCTGGCTGAAAGGCTTGGGTGTCGGTCCATGAGACAAAGAGCTTAGCCACAAGAAAAATACAGCAGGTAGACTCTACATATCTCTACACTCTACACTAATAGACTTAGCGAATCTTCAAATAGAGAAGCTACTAGGGGCTCCTGGCATCGCTACTAGGAGCAAGGACGCTACTAGGGGCTCCTGGCCTTACTACTAGTAACAAGAAGCTATTAGCTTATTGTTTCTACCAGCTTCTTGTTACTACTAGTAAGGCACTTGGTACTACTAGCGATGCACTTGTTACTACTAGTAACAAGAAGCTATTAGAAACAACACCTTGCACTTGCGACACGGATCCGTCCCGGTGCGACTCGCGACTCAGAAAGCGACCGCTTTAGGTGGTGAGCCCGTGGACAAAAAGCCCAAAGATGGTGTGCACTGCTTAGCTACAGGTGTTCAACTGATGTCAGTTCATCGAGTTGAATCTTCATCAAATCAGAACCCCTCGGAGTCAGAGTGTAGTTTCCCATAGCTGTGCACGGAGTGTGATGATCGTTCGCACGTGCAAAACTCTGTTAAGTTCTGGAAGTGTAGAAAGAACTTGAGCGAAAGCGGATATCATGGAGATCTGACTGGAGAGAGGCAGGCTGGATGGTTGTGGCAATGCTTTAAAGCAGTCACTAGAGCACCGCGGCTACAGTTGTGTGACGTAGGGTATGTGCGCGAATAGGAACCTTAAGGGGTCATCAATGTTCCTGCGGGGTACGCTGGACGAATGAGACAGAAGACGGGAGATTTGAGGAACGCAGAGAGATGAGCAGAGGCTGTAGAAGAACATGCAGTAATTCACCGAAAGTTCTAGGAACCACATCATTAATAGAGCCTGAGACCTTCTGCGTCCAAGCCCAAGAAGCTGCTTAAGTTACTAAGTTACTAGCTTAAGGCCTACTCCCCCCGCAAACAAAATTGCCCAGAAAAGACCAACACAATTAATGCCCTTGTTACTTGTTAGTAGTAGCTTCTAGCTACTAGTAGTAATGCCGCATGCCCTTGTTACTAGTAGCGATGCACTTGTTACTAAAAGGAAGGGGTCAAATGGGTCATTAGTCATCACCTTCCCTGGGGCCTGGTAAGCGGGTCGCACCAATGTTATATTGTTTTTCCCACTCGGTACATTGAAGCCCGTTCTGATGTTTTGCAAAACGTCGTATAAATCTCTGGGGTGTGTCCCATTGCCAGTAACAGTAGCAGTTGGTAAAATAATGTAAAATGTTATCACAATGTTAAAGGCCTGTACCGACCAGCATCACTGTTACTGGTAATGGGATATACTACCCAAAGTATCTCTGCCCTGTCCATTTGAATGTCACCGTTGTTGAATTTCGGCAGACGTTGCCACCTTGGCATGTTCTCTTCAGGTCGTTGCTGGAATCCCACCTCCACGCCAGCCATTTCAGATGGTGCCACAAGAGGCTTCTCCCGTGTCTTGGTGCATGTGCACAGCATTGGACTTTTTCTCCAAGGGACAGACCAAATTCAAAGTTTCCCTAATCCAGCAGAGCGAGCCTCTCCAACGGAGCCTTGAAGACATGCCAAGGATCAGTTCCCCGTGGATCGCGCTGGCATGTTCTGCTTCTCGCTGATGTTACCCTTTGGCTACGAGGTGGAGTTATTGGCCTGGCAGTACAATCAGCAGGTGCGACATCAGATCGAGTGCTGTAGTAGGCCTAGGAACTTGAAGGAACTAGGCCCAAAAATCTAGGAACCAAATGTTAGTTAGTGGAAGCATGAGCTATCCTGCGTCCCGGCTAGGAGCTTCCTATTGCTAGTAGCTTACTTCTCCCTTACTTATATAATTAATCTATTCAGTAGGCGCCTACTTAATTAAGTAAGGGCGGGCTTACAACATTGTGGAGGCAGACTGGGGAACAGGGGGCTGGAACTTCAAACAGGCGACGCTTTTGAGGGGATCGACGCGACAAGCCTCAGCACAGATGGACTGGAGAGACTCTTTTCAGGTGAGTATTTTCGCATGCGACAAATTCGCAGCTGGCGACCCAGAATAAATACAACACCGAGCGATCTTGCAAAGAAGAGCAGAAACTTGACAGCTTGTATAGCTTACTGACAAGAAGAGATCAGGGCACTTGGTGCTTTACTTGATGCTGCTGCTGCATGTCTTCAGGTCTATACCAACAAGTCCATGGAGGTTGGGGCTGGCACAGGCGATTGGTTCTCGTTTTAGTCTTTGCATCCAGAAGAAATGCAAAACGCTTTGTGAAGCGCAGCCACAGGGCTTTATACTCATGTGGTGGACAGCAATCTTCACTGCCAAGTTGGTGGCGACTCACAGTCTGCTTGAAGCTAAGAGCAGAGAAAACATGGTCAAAGGATTCAACCTAGGGACACATTCGAAGTTGTGGCCACCAAGGCACTGAACAGCTGGATTTTCATTGCCGTCTGGAAGAAGGCAGCTCAACATGTCCGATCTGTTTGACCATTGCAGAAGATTGCTAGGACCTAGCGACGCGAAGATTGATGCGCTTCTTCCCCTCGCAGGTCTTGGAAGATGGATACTGGAGAGAGTATCCTTGGACTGTGAAAGTGGACCCCGATGCCGTCGGGTCCACAGAATCGGCGCCGTGACGGAGAACGAGCGTAGACGTTGACCGCTGGAACCGGCTTTGGGAAGAGCTAAGCCGAGCTAACACAGCCGAGCTAAGCCCAAGGTCTTCTTGCCACTTCGAGCTCGGCCAATTCTCATGCAGTTCCTTGGCTTGGGAACCCGCAGGGCAGAGGGAAGCAGAAGTAGCTGCTGATTGTGCCTGCTCTTCCAATGGTGAACATGGGGGATACAGGGGAACTGATGTAGTTTGATGGAGAATGGCAGCTTTAAGGCAATCCAGCTGAAGAAACGAGTTCCTGTAGAATCGCTGGCATATCTATGCCTATCTCAGGTACTATGGTGAACCGTACATCAACAATTGTCGGAGCTTTGGCCGCACCCAAACCATACTTGCCGACTGAACCAAAGCTTGTATTTGCCAGCAGCACTGAAGAAATGCAGTTGAGAAGTGTGTTCATCTGATTTCTTGTTGCACCATGCTGCCTTTGCTTTGCAACCTCAAGTGGTTCTTTGGGATGCAATGAAAAACCCGTCAGATACGGAATGCATGGCCCTGTGGAGTTCTTCGGCCAGAAAGCCATTGGGCGGCAGACGAAGACCCTATCGAGTCATCGGCAATCGATTTGCATGGATTATCACAGATTCATGGTTTATGCCTGGAATTTCTTGTATCCATTGTATTTATAGGAACACATAGAAACTATGCCGTCATGAGGCAGGTTGGATATCATAGTTCATGCACACCAAAGTGGAAGAATCTTAAAGATATGTCAGGATGTACTGAGGATAAAAGATCAATCGAAGAACTCCCAACCCATAGAACTCGAATGAATATATATACTGTATATATAATGTATAGTATATAATATACATAATAGAATATATATATATATAATATACAGTATATACATCCACATGAATATAACGAACATACAAATCCAGAAGCTCAGACGAGACGGTAGATTGATAGTAGGCATGAAAGTAGACATCCCTTTTTGCGAAGATAGTAGTTGAACTCGATTTCTGCCACCTGCTGCGACCCGTCCTACCATCGAATTCGGACATCCTCGCAGCAGTTCGTTCCCACCGGAATGCAGCGGAACACAAAAGGCTCCCAGGCAAGAGAACTAGCAACAACAGTGACCCAGTGGCACGCCTGGGCGGAAAGATATGTGACACTGAAACGTACAGCGTATTGACATATTTTGAAATCATAGTTTGAACATATTTGCGTTGCCTGTATCTCCGTTGAAATGGCAATACCTCATAAATGCACACAGTGAAAGGTCTCCCAGTGCCTGTCATGGGTGTTGACTGGGTAGGCAGAGCATCGCACAATTGTATTCATCAAAACGAAGAGAAGCAGAAAGCACTCAGACAACAAACGATATGAAGCTAAAAGGAAACTGATACAGTAGAGGAAATAATAGCTGCCGAGGTATTCACTTCTAAACATCCGATATGACTTTTATGCAGATCATTTCTTTAGAGGGATGTTGATGGGGGTGATCCTGCCTTCGAAGAACCGTGTAGTCCAGACACGATCCAACCGGCAAATCTATCCCGTTGGCATCAAGCGAAGGGAGTTCTTATGCCACACCTCGCTTGGAGTGGTATTCAAGCTTAACCAACGCTCGAATGAGAAGGGAGCAGGTCTTTGAAACTGCTTTATCTATCCGCTTTGAATACTTTTGCAATATTCTAATTTCTCACTTTAATTTATGGTATAATCATGTTGATCTGTCAGTTGGAAGCTGTGCATGAGGCGATGGAAGCTTTGAATGGGCAATATCAAGCCAGCTACGATGGGAAGGCGCCAAAAGCCTGTGTGGAGAAGCTGCACTTCGGCCTTTGGGGAGAGGAGACGGAACGTGACACTGCCGACGACTTGTTAGAGAAACCCAGTCACTGTTACTAGCAAGGCCAGGAGCTACTAGTAGCGTCCTTGCTCCTAGTAGCAATGCCCAATGCCCTTTGCTACTACTAGCTTTTTGTTACTGAAGCAAAAACCAAGGAGAGAATAGCCCAAATGACTACAGTAGAAGCTGTTGAACTCCGGACAGCCTAGCACCACCATCTACTTCAGGCATCTTGGCTCTAACCCACCACGCAGTCCCTGCAGGATATGTTTATGGACCAGTGCTTGCGCAAAGTCCTGCAGGTCACTGATGGTGCCCTGGCACATTGACAGATCAGTTGATGGTGAACTCTTGTTGACCTGTGGATGCTCTGACTGACGTTTAGGCCAACCACCAGCCCTAGCACCTGAGCTGATGCAATTAGCTTAGCTTGGCAAGTTTTCTTTTGGCTTGGCATAAGCATGCAGCATGCATGTTCTGGTGCAGTGTTAACGTATGTTAAGTGTCATACTTTGCACTTGAAGGTGTGAAGCGCATTGTGATTGCCCAGAGTGGATTTGGTGCATGGCTCATTTGAGAGTTCTGTGAACATTTAGCTGCTAGCCGTCTACAAGCTTTTCTGCCTTCTTGAGGTGCAGTGGCAGCGCGGTGTCCTTCCATCCTTTCAAGTCTATAGCAAGTACCATGCCTGAGAATCAGAGGAAGCTTGGGGGCTATTATATAAAATAGGTTGGAGGCCATCGCTAGTAGGTGGAGGCCATCGCTAGCAGATTGGAGGCCATTGCTTCTAGGCTGGAGGCTATTAGGTTGGACCTTTTTCTTTTTTGTCCGCGGGCTTTTCGGTACAGCTCAGGCGGCACTTTCTGTTCGGACACACTTCCAACGGTCCTGAGGTTACAAGAACTGCTTGGCCAACGCGTTCTCAGGACGGGAAAATGACATCAAGGGTGCTTGGAGTTCTGTAAGCCAAAGTCAAATTATGATTTTGAAGCCATTCAGTACATCCTAGCATTTGTGTTCAACCATTTGAAGATATTCTTTCTTCTTTCTCTTTAAAAGAAGCTCCTTAAGGAATAGTCACACGGAGTTGCGCAAAGGTCTATTTCCGCTTGGGGAAGTTATCCATGTGCATACTTTAGATAAGTCGCAACACACCTTCATGTTGCCGGCGGTTTCGAGACACATAGATGTTGTGCGTTCAAATCCTTATGATACCCCTTATAGTCTAGCAGAATTGCATAGAACTACATACTTGGTTTTGACCGACTCAGTCACTGAATCTGTTTGTTTGTGCTGCCAGGCGCTACCCCTCAGTGAGCCACTGCACACAGAAAAAGCACCACCTTTGCTGTGCGGGACCAGAGATGTTCGCCCGCACAATCCAAGGGAGTCCCGGAACGGGCTATGGTGCAATCCAAATCCATAGGTCCAACCAAGATCGAAGGTGCCTCTTGACACAAGCCATGTAGAATGTAGAAATATCTCAAACAGAGCCAACAAAGATCTGGTTGGCACTTCTTAGCGGAACTGCTCTCCCTTGACATCAGCTGCTGAAAAGGCCTTTGGAAAATGTCTGCAGCACGTGAAGCAGTATTCTGACCTGCCGGTTCTTCTGCACCACTTTGAGATTTGATTTCACTCTCTACCCCTTTGATTCTTGATGGGATGCTCTATGCGATCCGTTCTTTTGATTTTGACACGACTTTTTGCCAAGGTCTCAGTGGCCCGGATGGTGCTTTACAGTTCTGGCTAAAGCTTGGTGGATTGCCCAACGGCGCTGCAAGAAACTTAATAGACTTAATCTCAAACTTGCATATGAGTTGCATATGCCTGAATGGACGGCCATGAAAACGTTCTGCTCAGCTTTCAGAGCATCGGAAAGACATTGAAGGGCTATGAACCAGACCTTTAGACGTCCACCTGCGAACTGAGGACTGCCGACTCTCACGAGGCGCAGATGGAACGTGGAGATACTATGAGGTAACTTCACAGGCTGGATGTGGCCTCATTGCCTGGTCCCTTTGTGTGATCGAGCTTCACCTGAAAAAGTATGTGGTAAGCGCAAAGAGTTGTAGCGACGGACGGAGATACATGTCAGATCAGTTTGCGGTGCAGGGCAATACTTCCATCGGCGAAGCGACCTTGAAAAATGGCCTCGGTGACATACCAGAGGCTGTCGTGCGCTGCTGGTTGGTTTGTAGGTCTGGACTTGTTGGACTGTGACACCGCAGCTTTTGATCCGAAGCAACACATTTAACATTTCACTTCCCTGTCCAACCTTTCCATGGCTTAAGCGAAACCGTTCTTCTAAGGCTTAATGTATTTAAGCAAAACTGCTGTGTTTACCGTAGGGCTTTGCCAAGGGCTTTGATGCCATGGCCTGCGTTGTGTAGAATTAAACACCAAAGATCTCTTCCGGCGTGCCACATGCCACGGGTTTTGCATCGTGCGTGTGTCGGACGTCTTGTGCGTGCAGGATGACTATGTCTTGACGCCAACAGGTGGCTTTCAGGCTCTGTGGGACCGATGGAGGCTTTTTCTTCCTAGGGGCAAGGGCTCCTGGCCGAGCCAGGACGCTACTAGGAGCAAGAACTCTACTAGGTTTCTTCCAGTTGTGAAGGCTAAGATGTAAGCATAGTTTTCCCAGGGACACCTCAGAAAGAGACCTTGGCATGCCTCATTTCTTCTTTGCATTTATTTGTTTGTTTACTGTTGTTTTTCTTCAGACTTCCGAAGTTTCCTTCTGTCTTTTGTCCAGTCAAGTCTGCTAGTGGCAGGTGGAGTACCAGTGCTGCCCGCAGGAACTTGCGACCACACTCGCCAGTGTGGACATCCCTGAGGAGTTGCCACAGGCGCTGACGCATTCTCAAGCAGAAAGCCGCAAGATTGAACCGATCCAAAAAGTTGGAATCTTTGGGCCTATTGGGAACATGATCATATTTGAAATAGTTCCCACGCACTGTCTAATCTGTTGAACATACCACTCAGATGTGTGCTGCAGATATTGAAATTATGGCTAGTGGGTTGGCCCAACAACGTGGAAGGATGCGGCTATAAACATAGCGTCGGGAAGCTCAAAGTGATGCCCGAAGATGGCAAAGAGAACGGAAACCAAACCCGCAGCAAGTTGGTTGTCGTTGAATTGCTGAAAGAGGCCTCCACTGACATAGCAGTGTTCCACGAGAGTTGGCTAGGAAACTTGGCCTGGTGTCTTGCCAAACTCAGGATGATTGCAACTGTGGCTGGTGCCGGAGTGGTGTTTCGAAGTTGCATATTCCAGACTGTACATTCTGGACTTAGAAGCCTGGTGCTTCTTCGATCCAGAATCGGTGTCTTTTGCATTTCAGGCTTTGTGTCTCCATTGCTTGGACCTGAGCCTGGAGCGGAACATAGATGCGAAGGTGAGATCGGTTTAAGTCTATGGTAAGTCAATGTTCCCCAACTCTCGTTATATAATCCTGGCCAAGGCTTGTTTGATAAGCTGACAGAAGTTTTACCTTTGGCATCGGAGGTCTTTTTGTAGCAGTGATTCGGAAGACAGGTTATCAATTATTTTTCTGAATGAGGTGGGGATTTGCCTCATTCAGCGGTTGATGCCC